TGTGCTATAGAAGTAAATATTATTCATTCATAACTATAGTTTTCAAGTTTGCTTACTTTCTATATCCCAATATATAAAAATGTTTACAAGCAAACTCTTTAAGATTTTGAACGGCCTTAATGAATGCAAAATATGTTATTTTTAACTTGAATAAAGGGAGGTTTTTGAAACGTATGTTATTTATCATAAATTAGCTACAAATTAACGAATTAAACAATACAAATGTACACAGTGTCACCAACGCGAGCCACAAACGGCGGCAGTGTGCACGCGTCCCCCGCGCGTGACTCGTCCCGGGAACCTGACTACCAATATGGTCGTTTCGATGCCAGCGCACTGCACATCGCCCACGCACTTAAGCAGACAGAACTGCAAAAGGCCTACCACAGGCCTAAAGAAAAACCCATCGACTGCTACCTGGTAAGTACAAACACAAAAGTTAGACACAAAGTCAGCTTCTAAAAGGTTATAAAGACGGCTTTAGTAGTTTGTTAGACCTGTCACGAATTCTAATATGTCTAACAATATGTCTACCAGGAAACATCATATAGAATGGCATGTCTCGATGTATTGTTATCACATTTATATAATAACAAACAGAAGACTGTCACTCAATAACAATGATTTTTACCTAAAGAATTAACAATATTTAATCATTGAAAAACAATTGTATTGTAAGGTTAAGGACAAGAATCAAATACTCTTTTGTTAGAAAACTATTACAGGCAAAATAAAGTGTAAAAAAATATTCTGTGAACAAAATGACAGGCAAATTTGCTTCGCTATTACGATTGGTAACAACAGCCGATATTGGGCAAAAGGCAAATTGCAAAGTCCTTCGCCGGCTGGGTGCTGGGAAACCGAGATAAAACGACAAACCAGCGTCGTTACCCGACTTATGAAAACGCAACACTTTACTATTGCGAGAGTACAATCACACACAAATTACGAAAGTGAATAAACTTTTTAACGCTTACAAAAAAATATTATAGTTACTCTTATTTTTACGGTAATGGATATACAATTCGTTTTGCTATTATCGTGTTGCCAAAACAACTATACGTAATATATTATTATGTTTGTTTTTTTTTTTAAGATAATTTAAGATATGGCAATAATTTGTACATTATTTACGATATATATCGCTGCAAACGTTGTAAAATTATTGCATTTTTAGATGAATAACAATATAATTATTATATATATTCTAATAATAAATTTGTTCGTGACTGTACGCTGTGGTAATGCGTATCGAAAGGTAAAAGCCGGACCAGTCTATAATATAGCGGCGCATGTCAACATTAATGTGTGAATAAGCGTTAATAGCTTTGTCCAAAGTGACAGAGAATTTTGCGCGCTAAGAAAATCGATTTGCTTCCTCTCTCCATATTTAATTTATTTGTAGAAACTCGGACGAAGTTTTACTCGTTATTTTATTGATTCTGACTTTTATTTGCATAACATATATGATAATTAAAAACACCAATGTACAAGTACAGTTACATTCAGTGAAAACACAAACGTTAACAAAGGTCGTAATAAAATGTATGTTTGCAACAATATTTCTTATCCTTTGAACATGTAGCTTGTCTTGCACCTACATAACATTAAAGTAGTTAACACGTTACACACTGTCGTACATAACTGTACCAACCACGCTGATACTCTATATCGCATGACAAGAGTTTGTACGCACCTGTCATTACATGCAGCGTTTTCTACATTACTCATTAAAAGTACAGTCGCGTACAAAACAACACTTTTAATTACTTTATTTAATGCCACCTTTAGTTACAAATGTTGATTGAGAAAAAGAAATCTCATCAGGAAAATTCCATGCAAATGTGAGCGAGACTAACGGTTCGGTTTCTTTCATATTTCGAAATAATTTAATTATTTAAATCACCTTTAACACTTATCTTCTCCCACCAATAAATAAATCTTTTTAAAATAACTTTTCTACACTATTCCGCGTGACTGTACCGTACGAAGCACACACCGCTATTCCTTACAATGTTCTGCTCGTACCGTTTCGTTGTTAATTTATCGCCGTAGTTTAATTATAGATAGCACATCGAGTTGTGAACAATGTAGGTGTGACCTACGCCTCGCTGATGTACCTATACAACTTAACCTAGGTCATAGACACGCTTTTAAATGTGTGTTTCCTTATGAAGATTTTCGTTAATTTAACTGTTTACATTGTATGTCTATACCCTCTACACTGTAATACATTAATGACATTAAAGTAAAAATGTAAAAAACTGCTATTATTATTCTATTCTTGTTCTGTCTATTGTTACTGCCGTCTGTGGTCCAAACAACTTACTTTTGACGAGCAAGAAGTCTACACCTTTGACTAAACTATCGCGGAACTGTTCAGTAGCACTTTGATTCCTATGAACTTATATTTTAGCGAAACAATCGACAATCAAACAACAGTTTTGCTATAGTTTACTCAAAGAAGTGCGCCCGCTCTTAATGTTGGCTTCCAAAACTGAACATCAGTGCGTTTAAGAATAAATAAATATTAGATACAGATTAATAAAGTGATGCAGCAGTAAAAAGTTTTTATATCAAATTTCTAATCACAGATTCCAGTATCACACTACAATAAATAAGTCGTGCGATTCTTGAACGATATATTTATCATATTTGTCCCAGCAGTTAACATAATTCATAATTAAATACAAAAAGTCAATTGCAATGTGCACAGAGTAATGTCGGTGCAGAGACAGCACATTCCGCCAGAGATCGCGTGACTGCGAGGGGAATGTGTACACTACACGTTGGAGTAATTAATGAACTAGACGCGGCATCGGTTGTTTGTTAAGAGATTGCAATTAGATTAGTTTAAACAAGGACTAGAAACTAAATATTCTGTAAACATTTCGAATTGTGTCTATCATTTCAATCTTCAATAATCTTTTTAAATAAAGTGTATAGACTAAAGGATTGTTTTTGTTTTCCTATATGTGTGGAGACGTCTAAAAAGAAGTATTTCCTGTAGCTATTGCCCGTGACTGTCCGCGTGAAATTTAAAAATAATAAAAAAGAAATTAAAAAATATAGTCTATGTTACTCATAGATAAATTACCTTTCTAACGGTGGAAGAATTTTTAAAATCGACCCAGTAGTTTTTGAGCCTACTCATTACAATTAAACAAACAAAGATTTCCTCTTTATACTATTACATGGCATGAAGAAAAAACATCGATATGTTAAGTCTTATTTTATAAAATATAATATTGCGCTCTGTATAACGCAAGCTCTTATGTTACAGTAGTTTTAGCTTCAATAGAGAATTACATTTTTTTATTTCTAATCGCTTATAACTTAAATCATAACGAATTAATCTTGGCATCGGAAGCTATCATTTAAAGTGGCGAGAAATCGTCGTCCAATCGATTACAGGACGATTCACAGTCGAAGCATCTCGACTCTACCACTCTCCCTCGGTATTTATGATAGTTTCACACGAGGGTAGAACCGTCAAGCAGAGCAGTAAGCAATACAGTAGATTGAACGCAGACTTATACCCACTTGCACGCTTATATAACAGCAATACTGTATACTTCTCTGGGACAAAGTACTTCGTGTGAAACTAATATTATGTGCGTCCCAGACGGTCCGATGATAATGCGTATGATTTATTCATACAACTTTTTGTATTTATTCGCATCTGATCTAATAAATAACATTAAGTTATGCTAACTCGGCTTGAACTGTGAGAACGTTAGAAGATTGCTTTTTTTAGAATGTGTGATGTTTTAATGCGGCTTCCTGTACGTGTGAAAAAGGATGCTGTTGACTTTTGACTTGTTACTTTTGACTGCCATTATCTATATCTACTATTATAATAAAGCGCATTCCTTTGTATAAACACACTTCTTTCTTGCCTAAGATGTCAGCAATTACATCATATTTTTGAACAATTATTTTCTTAATAAAAACCCCTACTTTAGGATTCATGCTTTAGGCTATATATTTTCACGCCATTAAACTTAGGGGGTAAATATTTTGGATAAGAACCCTAATGAGAGAAAGAGACCATAAGTTGCTGCCAACATCAAGAAAGAAAGATTGCTAAGGTTTGTCATGTAATTTTGACATTTACTATTGATAATTGAAAATTAGATGAAGCCGCACGGGAACAGTTACTATCTGAATAAACTCTAATTTGAAAAGTTAATAAAACAAGAATAAATGCGTCGTATTACCTTGGAGTAGTGTATAAACGGTATATGGTACATCAATTGAACAGTATATGTACACAAAACTATTAAATACTATTACAGTATGATACAAGAATGTATGAATGAGGTACTCAACCCTTTCTAATAACATCTAACTTTCGTCGTCCGGATCCGCGTTTCACCGCCGCGACGCAGGATGACGAAGGAGGTCGGTTGGGACGTGCAACCTCTTTGCCTCACCCGCACCATACATTATTCACAACGTGTTACACCAGCCAGTGTTTTACTCGGAACGTGCCTCTATTTATAGTTGTTTATTCTTATATCTGATCAAATTACCCGTGTATTGTTTAATCTTATTATTACAGCATTATGTTTTCTTGTAGATAACTCTACATGTTAATTAAAAATCGTTTTTGTTGTAATTAGAATTAATGTAATAAAAATTGTAGAATTTTATTATAGCGCCCTCTATCACTGTTCAAAATAATCTAAGCTCCGTGTCGTTTTCTAGCTGTTTGAAGTATCATTATCTGCCTATAGACTAACATATTTTCTGATAGCGCCTAATAAAGTCATATAAATTTGTGGGACTATAGGCATACATTTGTTTTTTTAAGTTTCAAAGATTACATAAGTCGATATGTCGACGGATAACCGTTTATGGACAGCAACCATTGCTGACTCGACTCGGACGTTACCATAAAAGTCCATTACCACGACTCTATCGAAACGATTTCGATATACCCACGAATACGCGCCGTGAACACACCACGAACACATTTATACTAAAATGATCTTATTAGAAGTTATTTATAAATTCATATCCGCAACTAAAAGAAACGTTGAGGACATAACTTATAAAATTCATAAATTATGTATGCGATTTAGTACAATTAGGATATTAAAAATTAGGGACAATTTGTGCCAAACTTGAGCTTTAGCTTAAGCTTGCCACCACTTAAACATGTGTATCATCATTCACTACGCTTTGTGTTTTATAAAGCAGAAAGATTGGCAAGAGGTCATAAGTTTAAACGTAAAATATAACACATAAATCTACGTTTATTTCTCAGGCTAATATCTTTTATTCAAGTCTTTTGAATTGTTGTCTCCATAATTTTTTTAAAAATGAAAACAAAGAAGCACATAAAATCATACGAAGGAAATACATGGCATCATCTAAAGAATTAAGATCGCATTCAGAGATCAAATCGCGCCGCT